ACACACACACACACACACACACACACACACACACACACACACACACACGGAAGCTATATCTCCAGGGGTAGTGGGACTGAGAAAGAAAATCAGAAGTTTTAAAATTAGCTCAATTTTTACACGTCTCTGGCTTTGCATGTCTTATCCTCTCCAAGTTCTGTGGCTAGAACATAAACTTCCGTGAGGATTAGTATACCTCAAGTACTTGTAATATTTCATGTGAAAAAAAATGAGTGGATATGATGGATTACAAACTCAATGTATTGTAACTGCAGTCTTCCTTGTAGAAATATGGCATCCAAACTGGGCACAGTGGCACAAGCCTGTAATCCCAGTGGCTCGGGAGGCTGAGGCAGGAGGATCGTGAGTTCAAAGCCAGCCTCAGCAACATTGAGGTGCTTAGCAACTCAGTGAGACCCTGTCTCTAAATAAAATACAAAATAGGGCTGGGGATGTGTTCAGTGATCAAGTGCCCCTGATTTCAATCCCTAGTACCAAAAAAAAAGAAAAAAAGAAAAAGAAAGAAAGAAAAAAGAAATATGGCATACAGAATAAAGCAAGTAATAGCACCAATCAAGCCATCCCCTCAAAGAGAAACACAGAGAACACCTCTCCTAGATTGGCAAAGGATCTGGGAAGACCAGTTGAAATATCTGGGGTATTTAGCCTCTTCCAGACTCTGCAGCCTAATCATATTCTTCTTGTTCTGCTCTCTCACTTCCTGGCTTTTGCACCTAGTCGGTGTCCTCTCTACCGTATTTTTTATATTCATTATTTCTACTGACCTTGAAGTTTTGACTTAAAGATCATTTAAGTTACTCAGGGTGGAATTTCTGATATCTTGGCCCTGCCCTACTCCCACCCCTGGAACTAGTACAATGCCTGGCACCTGTGCCTCAGTTTTTTTACTTAGAAGTCCTATTATCAGAGAGACTTTTGTAACTAGCCTATGTTTAATAACAATGCCCCCATCTTCCTGAGACTCCTTATCTTTCCTTAGTCCATTTCCTTGCTACCTTGAATATTAAATATGTATTTTTTATTATATCTCCCCTAACTAGAATGTAGTCTCCAACAGATGTTTTCTGTGTTGTTATTTGTTTGATGCTGTATACCCATCACCTGCTAGCATTGTAAAATAGTTAGCATTCAATAAATATTTCAAGAATTATTGGTAAATAGAGAAGTTTTAGAGTATTGAAACATAACGGTTGTCTTCAAATATTTAAAATGTTGCCTTATGAAAGGGAGCATAGATTAAAAAAAACAAGTGACTGTTGAGGATAAAATTAAAACAACTTATTTATTAAACAGTATTTTTAGTTTCTGTGTTTAGCCCCTTGGGAGATAGTGAGCTCCATAAAGAGTCCAGGTCTCCCAGTACACATGCAATTGTTTCTCTAGAAATCATTGTTCCTCTCAGAAAAATAAGGATTAAGAACAATTTAGGTGAAAAATCTGTATCAAGAGTAGACTAGCAGCTGGGTATAGTGGTGCACTCCTGTAATCCAGCAGCTTGGGAAGCAGAGGCAGGAGAATCGAGAGTTCAAAACCAGCCTCAGCAACAGCAAGGCACTAAGCAACTCAGTGAGACCCTGTCTCGAAATTTACAAAATAGGGCTGGTGATGTGACTCAGTGGTTGAGTGCCCCTGAGTTTAATCCCTAGTACAAAAAAAAAAGTGTAGCCTAGCCCTTCATGTGACAGCTTGAAAAATAGATTTCTGATTTAGCCATGTCCTAGGCTTTGTAACTCACTAGTTCCATCCTAGTTACATTACTACCTACTGACTCTTATTTAATATTATTAAACTCTCAATTAAGTCTAAACCAAAGGAGCCATTTGCCCCTCCTATCCACAAGAGACATTTGACAATGTCTCTAAACATTTTTAATTGTTACAACTGGGAATATAAGAATTGCTAGTGGCTTGCAGTAGGCAGAGAGGAGACTGAGAATGATTAAATATCCTGCAAGGGAAGCTCCTCAATTTATAAATGAGAAAAGGGAAACTCTGCAACTGAGCCTGGCAAAGTAGAGATCATGAAGTTAAATCAAGGTGACATTTCATAAAGGAAGTTATATAATGAAATGACATAAAGGATTTACATAAAGGAGAAGACTAATCTATGCAGGTTTAAGGACATAAATTTATTGGTATTTTTAAAGTCTGATGATAAACTGTCACTTGAAGATCTTATGTAAATTCTGGAATTAAAAAGAGAGAATCTATTGTCATTCAAAGGCAGTGTTTTCATTACAGCCAAATAACTAACATAACCATTCATGTAAATTTGATTCTCCTTTAGAAAATCATCTTAATTCTATTATAAACTGCTTTATATAGTACATATAAAATTGAATCACTTCTCAGTAGTGTATTAACTTGTTGGGTTTGAAGTATTTTGTTTGATACTAACCTGTTCTGAGTACTAAGCCAAAATGAACTATATAATATCAGTAGTAGAAATATTTTCTTCATTCTTCTGTGATAAATTCCTCTTTCACAGTCAAATATGGGATATTGTATTGAAACCTCAGTGAGATATTGTGAATGTCAGAAACATCCTACATGGGGTAAAATATTATAGCTGTTTATCATTTTTACAATGTTGATCCAAAATGGAGAAACTTATACAGCAAAGTTCACTCTAAACCTCCTTATATTTAAAAGGCTATCTCTATTACAGCATTTCAGTAGTGAGGCACAACTTTTATATATTCTCTGTTTAAGATTGTAATCGCAAACCATGCACACTAAGAAATGTCCAGCATGGGCTGGGGATGTGGCTCAAGCGGTAGCGCGCTCGCCTGGCATGCGTGCGGCCCAGGTTCGATCCTCAGCACCACATACAAACAAAGA